TATATACTGCATGATTCCACTTTTATAACATTCTTGAAATGACAAAATTCTGAGAAAAAGATCAGTATCGCGAGAATTAAGGAAAGGGTGAGGCAGGAGGGTAGTGGATATAGCTATAAAATGGCAATATGAGAGATGCTTGTGGTGCTGGAAATGATAATCAGTGTCAATATCAATATCCTGATTGTGATATTGTACTAGAGTTTGTACGATGTTATCACCAGGGAAGCTGAGTAATGAGTTCATGGGATCTCTTTGTATTATTTCTTAAAACTGCATATATATCTATACTAATCTTGAAACAACAAAAAAAGGGTTAATTTGAAAGAAAAAAAAACACTACCTTCCACAACAGTAGGTAGGGTTTAAAGACATCTTTGGAAAATGGAGCTAGAGGTGAGCAAAATGGTCTTCCTGGGGCAGAAGAGTGAACTAGTTGAATAAAAACGGGAACTCTGAGTTTGGTGTTTTGTAGAAGCAATTTGTCGGAGACTTGTTTGTTGTTGGGGAAAAGCCCCATTACTTGGAACATTACTGGGAACTCTGAGTTTGGTGTTTTGTAGAAACATCGAGTGGGGAGGCTGAATGAAGAAGTAGATGAAAAAGCTCCATCCTTACAGTAGGGGAAAGAGAAAGAGGGGACAGGACCCTGGAGGGAATGACATAATATCTGACCCATCAGCTGGAAGACCTGGTGGGACCTCCAGTCAGAGAGGAGCTGGGAGCAGGCATGGAGTCCAAGTGAGGCCAAACAAGATTTGGTGCCCAAGCAGAGCTGCCCAGAAATCCCTGGGAGACCTCAGCAGGTCAGTCAGGCATCGTCTTGGAGTGGAGGCGATCTCGGCAGCTACGCTAACTGCCAACATTGGCATTCATGGGTCGGTGAGACCTGGGGCCATATTTGAACTGCTCATGGACCTACCAGGGGGCAAAGTAAGCTTCAGGGTGCTTGGTAGAAATTCTGCAGCTCCCAGGCAGGAAGGAAAAGGGTTTGAAGCACTTTAGGTGGAACTTTTAAAAAGTGAAAACATTTGAGAAAGTACTTAGTGAATCTCTGGATGATAAAAGCTCACATTCAACAAGCAAGGTTCATTTGCTGAGTCCTTGCTTTACGCCAAGCATGAGAAGAGGCACTGGGAATAGAAGAAGGGAAGGACACAGCCTCTGCCCTAAGGGAACTGAATAATAACAAAAGTTAACACTTATAATGAACCAGGCACTGTTCCAAACACATACATGTTTTCAGTCCTTAGAACAACCCTATGAGGAAGGTACACATAGTAACCGATAATAACCAACACTGCCATTTAAGGCAAGCAGAGGCCAAACAACTCGTCTTCAGTTAAGAGGTAGAATTGGGGTTTGAATATAGGCAGTCTGGCTCCAGAATTCATGAATTCAACCACTATGCTGTATCACTGAGCAAGCAGATTTAGCCGAAAGGTGGGAGCTGTACAGCAGTGGGCAGCTCAGAGTTCTGGCCAAAAACTGGTCTGCAAGGATCTGTCACCAGCTTGCTGTGCAACTTTGGACAACTTGCTAGACCTCTTTGTCTCACACTCTACGAGACACACATGGCCTCAAATATAAGGTTTTTGGAGAGTCTTAAAGAAACATGCTTTGGAGGCACAAGGCCATTGCCCACTGCCTGTCCTAGATAAGAAATAAAAGCCCATTGCCTGTCCCAGATAAGCAGCTGTCACTGGCTGTGGGAGACAATGAGTAGAATGCTGTTCTTGGCCCCAACCCTGCAGTTCTACAGGGCAGCTGGGTTGCTGCAGTAGGCTAGCTTCCAGAGACTGCACAGGCCTGAAAGATAGCACCATGAAACTCAGGGGAGGAGACCAGGCCAGCACCCTGTGGGCTCCATTCCTCCAGAATCAAGTTCAAACTCCTCCAAATGGCATTCCACCTGGGGACAACCCGACCACCCTAGCTTTCCAATTGATCTCCATTCCTCCTACCCTGCAAAGAACAAGAAAGAATGTGACAGGGCTGGGATTTGAACCAATATCTGTCTGGCTGCAAGGCAGGGCAGAGCAGTGAGGTGGAGAGAGCACTGATTAATGGGTCAGACACACCCAAGTTCTTCCCGTTCTAGCTCTACCACTTGCTAGCTGTGTGATCCCAGGTGACTGCCCCACCTCTCTGTGCCTTGTCTGTAAAACAGGATTAGTAGTAGTCGCACATTAGTTTCCTATGGCTGTTGTCACACATTACCATAAACTCCGTGGCTTAAAATAACATTATCTTACAGTTCTGAATGTCAGAAGTCCAAGATCAGTCTCGTTGACCTAAAACCAAGGTGTCAAAAGGCCTGTGCTCCTTCTAAAGGCTCTAGGGGAGAATCTGCTTCCTTGCCTTTTCCAGCTTCTAGAGGCTGCCTGCTTTCCATGGCTCGTGGTCCCTTCCTCCATCTTTGAAGTCAGCAATGACCGATTGAGTCTTTTTCTTGATGTATTATTACTCTGACCTCCTCTTCTGTAGTAAATCTCTCTCTTACAAGGACCCTTATGATTACCTGGGGTCCACTGGATCATCTAGAGTAAACTTCTTATCTCGAAATCCTTAATCACACTGCAAACTCCCTTTTACTGTGTGAGGTAACATATCTGCAGGTACGGGGGGGTTCGTATATGAACATCTTTGGAGGGCCACTGTTCAGCCTCCCACAGGCACCCACCTCATGAAGTGGGATACTACAGGTGAATGCTTAGCGAGGTATCTAACTGAAGAGAGGCCAGTGATGCTTAATTCCAGCTGGGCATGAGAGTCGCTTTGAGAGAGTTTATAAAATATCAGTTCCTGAGGCTCACTCAGGGGGTTGGAAGATTCAGGGGGTTGGGGATGTCTATGCGTTGGAATTTTTATAAGCTCCCTAGTGACTCTGTTGGGCAGCCACAGGTGGGGTTGACTGTAATCGGCACTGAATTCATGTTAGCAGTTATTCTTATTCCCCACAGCTACTTAGCACTGAACCTCAGTGCCCAGGAGCTGCTCAATAGATGTCTGTTGGATTAGACTGAACTGAATCACTCTTGGGGCCCCAAACTGCCCCTGGGGTGGGGTGGGACGGTCCAGAGGGTTTCTCACTGCTGCATCAGGGCCTGAAGAATGAGGTTCTGTGGGCACACAGAGGCTGAGGCCTCCAAATCAACCTCACACCCAGAAATGGCTGCCTGGGGGGCTGGAGTCCTTCCTCCTCCCCAAAGTCCAGTCAAGGGGGCCGACTGGGCAGAATCCAGTCATCAACGGGCCATTGTTAATGGAACAGAGGGGCTCTGTGCCCATTTAACACTTCCCTCCCTCATGAGGCTGCTCCCAGCTGAGGGCTGGCTTCTGGAGCACTGTGAGGCTGGGGAGGGGGCCATGGGGGCCCCCAGGCTATGAAGGGGGAGGATAAGGGGTGGGGGCTGGTCGGAGGCGCAGAGGCAGCTTAGAACATAAGTTAGCAGGCTGGAAAGCTGGGGTGCTGATATGAGCACTCAGCTACAATGCCTGGAAGAAGTTCCAGTTAAAGCTGGGAATCCAGAAACAGCCAATGAAACCCACCGGACCCCAACCAGAGCCAGGCGGACAGCTTTCCCCGTGGGGTGATCACGCTTCATCTACCTTCTTCCCTTTAAAAAACAGAAAGGTGAAATCCATGTGGTAAATGGCACCTTTCATTGCCTATGGAAGAACAGTGTTTTCAAAAGGGCTAGGAGAGTTTTATGTTTTGTGGATTTGGGATTTTAAAGGCAGGTAATTCAACCAGGGCCGGGCATCAGTGTCTCTTTGCTTAGCAGACCTTTTCTACATTAAGCACTTGATATTAATAGCATGAGTTGGATTTCAGGAGGGTTGGGTTTAAGATTCCCAAAACAGTGCCTGACCAGAATCCTCAAAAATGTCAGAAACCCACACTTGGGCTAGCCATCAACAATTCTCATCTGTTGAATAAAGCTATCCTCTGGTAGTCTCTGCCAAAGGAGTAGATTGCCTTTAAAATGTTCTAGGAGGGTGGGATCTCACAGTAGGATCCTGGACCAGCAGCAGCACCTGGGAACTGGAAATGCACACTCTCGGGCCTCTCCCCAGACATCAATAAGTCTCTGGGGGTGGGCACAACAGGCTGTTTCAAAAGCCTTGCAGGTGAGTCTGATACATGCTAAAGTTTGAAAATCACTGTTCTAGAGTGATATTTTTCAAACTTCAGATTGTACAATCAATTTGGTAGGTTGGACAAGCTTCTGTAAAAGAGTAGAACACAACTGTGTAGAACAGAAAATATCAGAGTGCATCATGTGTATTAAAGACACATATGGGTTTCATAAGACTTTTGTTTCACTTATGTGTCTCTGTCTGAGGTTTTGATTAAACAATACAAAAAGATTGAAAGCCACTGTTCTCAAGCTGGAATGTACTAATTTCGACAAGCTCCTCTTTTGTAATGTGTCTGAATCAGGAGCTTTTAAGGGTCATGGTGTGAGAGTTCCCTTGCCCCTGCGATGTACTCATGTAGGCGGCGAACAGAGGAGAGGGTCTACTTTGGGGGCAGACAGCCTCTTTACAATGTTAGCCTAAAGTTAAACTGTGCATTTTCTCTACATTTATAAAACCTTCTGCCCCTCTACTGCTGCCCCCAACTCTATGTATATATACCTAGGGAAGTATGTGGACCAAATGACTAACCGGTTATATCTGAGTGATGGGACAGAAGAGTGTTTTGTTGCTTTCTTCTCTGTATTTGATCATTTCCTTGAATTTTGAAGGAAATCTATTATTATTATAAAAACAATAAAGTCACTACTTAAAAAAATATAAAGCTAAGGGTTCATCTCTTTGTGGAAATACAGAAAAGGGAAGGCATTCTACCTAAGGCTGAGGGCAGATCCCCCATGTCCCCAGAGTCATCCTTGATTAAACATCCACAGACATAATCCCCCAGAGGAACAGCACCACCGCCTCCCACCCCCTGTACCCCCACACACCCGTCACCCATTCCTCCTTAGCCCTTTTGCACCTCCAGGTTCTCATACCAGCCCTGTTTGCAGCCTGGATCCTTACCACTACCCTCTTTGTCATTATACAGACGAGAAATGGAGGTTCCAAGAAGCTAAGCCACCTGCCCAAGGTCACCCAGCTAGAGATGCAAGCTGGGACTTGAAGTGCAGGGTCTGCTGACCTCAAATCTCAAGCACATTGTTCTCCTGGCACTATTTGTTTTTCTACCTTGGGCCATTCTTATCACTTTCCACTTTGTACCAGAGTTAACGTTTGCCGTGTGTACAGCACCAAATTTATAAAGAAAGAAGGAAGGAGGGAAGGATGCAGGAAGGAAGAGAAGCAAGGAGAGGTGGGGAGGGGAGGAAGGGAGGAGGAAGAAAGAGGAGGGGAGCAGAGGAGGCCTCTGGTCACACTCTGGGGTGGGAACGAAGGGCAGACCTCTGCCTGTGTGAGGCCCCCACACTGAGCGGACCCTGAATACGAAGTCTGGCCAAGAGGCAGTATCGTCTGGTCAGATCACCGTGGCCAGGCTGACACCACAGTTCCCAGATGAAGGCACCTGCCCGGCCAGACAAGAGGGGGAAATGAAGGAGCAGTCAGGAGCACAGTTAACCAGGAGCCTGGAGAATGCTACCCATGGTAGCTGAGGAGCCTGCTGGGACTACAGGGCAGGAAGGATGTGGGGGCCCTGGTTGTGTCCTCTTTGTCATGTGGGTGGAGTCAAAGGTGACTGCTGAGGGTGGGGGCTGGGATGAGAGTATCTGGGGAGAGTGACCACTCAGCCATGACCCGGCAGTGGTTACACTAACCGTCCTGGGCAGAGCTAGACGCTGCAGAGAGCCTGTGTCATTTCCTATGTCGCTGTTTTCCAGTTGTGCCTCAGTTTGACGAGTGGTAAAACAGGAAGCTCAGTAAGTATGATTTCAGTTGTTTTAAAACTGGACAATTTAAAAGCAGCTTAAATACAAAAAACTAATAACGCTAGTTGCCTTTGTGGAGAAACCTGGGTGTCTGGGGCAGGTGTGAGAAAGAGATTTTACTATATACCTTTTGTGCCGTTCTAATTTTATACCATGGGTATGCATTACTTATTTTACAAAACTTAATCGAACTAATAAAATAAAAGCAGGTACCAGTTTCCTACCTGTAGAAGTAGAAGCGAAGTTCTTTTGAGGTGAGACTCTCTCATTTTGGACAAGTCATTTTAATAGGCCTCTGAATTTAAGCAGAGGCAAAGCCAGAAAGGAAAATTTAGGGGCAATGAAAAGCAAAAATAACCACACAGCCAAATTTAACTGTCTACTTTCTCTGCGAGAAAAGCAACAACTCTACAGAAATTATTACTGTGGTGACTGGGCCTGAGACTGATGAGGGGGGCAGTAACTGGTTTGGGTCCCCACCCTCCTGTGGAGGGAGAAACGGCGATCCCTGAAGCCCGAGGGGACATGTGGGCTAAGGCGGGCAGTGTCAGGGGGAGCTGCCCTGCAGACCGTGGAATCCTGGGTTATTCCTAGATATTCTGGGGAGGGCAACTGGAATCATGCTAACCACGTGAGCCTGGGCATTAAAGGGTATGAGGGACCCACGAAGGCTGCAGACCCCGCAGACCTCTGGGAGTCTGGCATCTGTCCACTGAGAGCAAGGTGATCGGTCACATGCTGGGTAATCACAGAGGCCAGGCATCTCATGGAGGCCCTTTGTTTCCAGGCCCTTCCAGGACCAGGGTGGCATTGGCACTCAAGCAGGAGGAGGTGGGGTGGAGAAGAAACCTGTCCTCCAACCCCCAACTGAAGCCTGGGTAGGGCCCCTATGGCATCAGAACTGCTCCTCGAAAAATGATGACTCATGGCCCAATGGGAATCAGTTTTTCTCTCACCCCAGAGGGTCACTTGCCATGGAAAACAGGGACCCATGACAGTAGACTGAATCAGAAATGCAAGCCTGAAAACAGAGCCAGCCTGCACTGCTAGAGGTCAGAGGGCAGGCTAACTCCTGTCTCTCTGCAGAAAGACTTGAGTCTCAGTTCCTCCCCTTTCCGGCCCAGGGAGTTCAGGAGAGCCAGAAAACCTAAGTAAGCCTCAGTATCCTCACCTGAAAAATGGGGATAATCATGCCCAGAGACTCAGTGTAGGGCTGGTCACTGGGCCCTTCTCTGGGCTGCTGCAGTAGCTGCGGCAGCCTGGCATCCTGTGCCAACAAACTGGGCTGAGGAAGCTGGCACTCAGCCCCTCGCTTGGCTCACACTCCTTTTTCCAAGTCTGGCCCACCAAAAGCAGGACAGGTACCCCCCCGAGCCTCTGTGTTCCTTCCATAGGGGAGAGTCTCACTCCAAAAGGCCATAAGAGCTGGATTTGCATGGCCAAGGAACTGAGCTCTCTCTGCCACCTCCTAATGGAACCACAATCTCCAAAAGTTCTGGTAAGTGACCCACACTCTAAGATGAAAACTTCCTGGCAGTTCCTGTCTGCAGCACACCATCTGGCAGGCACAGGTTCAGTACACTGCACCTCCTGTAAGTCTCGGGTAGTTTCATTTCAACTGGATGATGGAGTGGTTAAGAGCATAGCTATGTCTGGCGTTGAACAGCCAAGGGTTTGAATTCAAAGGCTGTGTGACCTTGGAAAAGTCACCTAACCTCTCTGGGCCTCAGTGTTGCCATCTGGAAAATGATGGCTACCTCATGCCATCAGATTGATAAATAAATCACTCAGCCTGTGGATGCTTAGTACATAAAGAGCTCTCAGATACTAAACAGTACCTTCCAGAAAGGCAGAGGCCTCTGGGACCTGGCCTAGTGCTGGGTACACAGTCCAAACAGGCTTTCTTTTTTTAAAATGATTCCAAGAGAATAGCAGGCATCATTCTCAAAGCTTGACACAGGCTCTTGAGCTGTCTTCTCCCCATTCAGAATTCCAATCAGAGGCCTGGCATGGAGGCCCTTTTGGAAGATCTCTATGCTCATCACCACTACCAGAAGCTCTTGCCTCAGCAGGGTTTATGTACGGGGGTGGGGTGGGGGGCCCCAGGTTGGGTGGGTAGGGGAGAGGAGGGAAAGTGGGAGACAGCAGTTGGGGAGGAGAACCCAGGACAGGAAGCCGGGGAGCAGATCTGGCCCTGTCACCTGGGGTGTGCCCTTGCAGGACTTTGGGCACCAAGTCATCAACAGAACTACAGAGGGCAGACTGGCAGGTAAGCAGCAGACAGCGAGATTCAGTGATGTCATGTTTTCCCAAAATGACTCAGTGGCTTGCCCCTGGGCTATGAATGGTGAGCTGTGTGCTGTGGCCTCAGAGCCTCCCGTCTCCTTGCCCTCCAGGCTTGCCCAGCACCTCTCCTTCTGTTACCTCCTGCCTCCCTGTCCCAGGGAACCATGGCTACGGCATTCATGCTCTGCTTCTCACTGTGACCCCAGCCCAGGGCACATCCCCATGCTGCTTCTGTCATGTCCAATCTCTACATTGGGGGAAGACCTAAGTTCCAGACAGACCTGGGTTTTATTACTGCCTCTGAGTCCTCTTGGCTGAGTGACCTTAGGTGGGTTGCTCTGCCTCTCTGAGCCTCAGTTTCCTCATCTGTAAAAGAGATGCATTGCTAACAATCTTGCTGGGTTGTGTGGGGCTTAGTGAGAATGTCTGTAAAGTACTTGGCACATAGTAGGTGCTTAGCAAATGGAAAGTACGACATTCAAGGGCCTTTACGATCTGACCTCAATTTACTTACTTACTCTTCTTGATGCTCACTGTGTACAAGGCGCTGCTTTAAACACTTGTATAGAAACACATTTTATTCTATCAACCCCATGTGATGGGTACTATTAGTATCTCCATTTTACAGATAAGAAAAGTGAGGCACAGAGAGGTTAAGCACCTTGGTCACGGTCGCACAGTCAGTAAGTGGGGAGCAGTGTTTCCATGCAGGCAGCCTGATTCTAGAGCCTGCATATGTAACCACAACTCCTTCCTGCCTCATCTTTCTCTCTGTGGATCCTATAAATTACAGTTCTTTCTAATTGGACTCCTCACCATCTCTGCATTTGATCCAAACTTTCCCATCCCCGTGCTTTCGCCTAGGTTCCCTCTTGCACTGGAATATCCACCTGCCCATGAAGCCTTTCCCAAGTCCTTCCTCATGTCCACCTTTGTGGGCTCATCACAGTTGGATCCAAGGTATTTATTTGCGCTGGTCTCCTCTCCTCTTCTAGCCTGGAGGGGCCTTCTGCTACCCCCAGCCCACCCTGCAGTGTCAGGCATGAGCAGGTACACAGTGCCTGGACAGGCGATGCCCTGGCCGGGGCACCCTCATGCGTGAGCCCCAGGTGGTGTGGAGGAGAATGCAGCACTCAGGGCCCTGCTACTTCTGCGAGGACAGCTCAAGGGCTGCCGCTGGAACTGTCCCTGTGGAGGCAGCCTGCCAGGTGGACTTCTTTGTCTGCTCAGGGGAAAGGACTCAGGCACAGGAGGCTTCCATCGCCTGGGGGTCAAGGCCAAACCCTGGAGAGGCTGAACGTTTGTCCATCCACCCAGGCGACAGGACAGAGAAGCACTTGCTGGTGGGGTTGAGTAGTGGGGCCCATGGTGTAACCACCCTCCAGCCCACCTAATTCACAGGGGCCTCTCAGAGGTTTCAGGCCCATCCTCAGGCTTCTAGCCCAGCACCCACAGGGTAATGACTGCGAGAGGCCACTTTCCCATTCCCTCCCTGTCCCATACAGGGCCTCTGGTCCAGGCCAGCTGTCTCCTCCCACTCACCATGACTGCTACAACCTCTGCCCAGGCACAGATCACTCCCAGCAGGCAGCCATAGGGAGGGCCGCTGACCTAGGCTGCCAGAAGGTGACATCCAAGCTGAGGCCTGAGGATGAATGGGAGCCGGACACAAGAAAAGAAGGAAGCAGAGTGTTCTCAGCAGCTGGAAAGGCTACAGAGAGCAGGACATGTGCAGATGGGACATGAGGACGATTTGAAACTTGGAACACCTAGTACAAGGTGAGGGCTGGTGAAAGAAGAGGCTGGGGAATCCAATTCACTGGAAGATCACAGGGCCTGCAGAAGCCATGACACGTCCCTCGAAGAGCTTGATGCTTACGCCAAGAGTGGGGTTTCTGTCTTGCTGGAATGGCCATCGGGGAGATAGAGTCCCCAATCTGCCAGTTCCTTCTTGTTAATTTAAATCCTTTCTGCTGCCATTTACGCCACTTCCCGAGACCGGGTCATTGCCAAGGGGGAGCAGCAATCAGCAGATGGCCTTGCAAAAGAGGCTGCTGCACCATCAGAAACGCCCTGCCCAGGTCAGCCTGGGGAAGGCGAGGCTCTAACGTCCACTCGCAATACCTACAGGGGCTGTGGCTTCGCCTGAAGCTTGCCTCCCCAGAACTTCCTGGCCCGAACTAGTGGTATGCCCTGGCCACAGTTATGCAATAAAAAACAAAAATAAAAAAGTTCTTGTGTCCCATTTGGCATCTTGGGCTGCAGCCACAGCAGGAAAGATACACACACAGGTAGTATCATGGCACGGTTAAGATTACTGACTCTGGAGCGGGGCTGCAGGGCTCAGACTTAGCTTTGCACTTACTAGCTGTGGGAAGCTGGCAACTGTTTTGCCTGTCTGGTTCTGTGTGCCCATCTGTAAAATAGTAATAACAGCAATACCTACCTCAGGAGCTTCCTGTAAGAACTCAATGAGCACAGGCAGGAAAGGTGCTAAGTATGATACTGTGCATGCTGGTTGTAATCACCGTTCTTTCCTGTACCCTACCCCCAGGCACCTGCACCAGATGCAAGAGGATAAGGAAAAGTAAAAGAAAAATAGCATCTTTCAGAATAAAAATAAGACAGCGTGTCTGACCTTTGTGGTCAGGGTGTTTCGGTTCTAGGTTCCCTGCGAGGAGCACTACCCCTTCCTGACTCTGACTCACAGATTCTAGGTTCTAATCTCAGGCCTCTTCAGGCATGTCTATGTTTAACCCTGTAGCAACAGGTCTTCTCCAGAGAAGGGCCATGGGCCACCCCGAAGCCCCGCCTGCATGGTCAGAGTTGTGAAATTCTTTGCTGAAAATCAGTGCTGTCTCAGCCAATGGGTGGCCCAGTTTGTTTTCAAAATATTTCCTCAGATAGCATTGCTTTGGCTCAGACACTTTAGCACTTTCCAGAATCCTGCAGATGGTAAGGCAGCTGGAGAAGAAGAGAGAAGAGGGAAGGAAGAGAGTAAGAGAGGCCCAGGGCTAAATCTCAGGTAGCTGAGTGGACTTGCAGGCACAGGCACGAGCACTGCATGTGTGAACAGACATGCACGCACAGGGCGAATGGAAAGCAGATCAACCTGTAGAAGGGGCTTTAAACCATCTAAGCTATGGAGGCTTCTTGTGAAACAGAGCTTTTGTCTGAAGGTTAGCTCTCACTAGGTACAGATGCATTATCTAAAGTCACAGATATTAATTCATTTACAGCCCTATTATGTATGACCTATTACCACCCCCCTCTTATCGATTAGGAAACTAAAGCTCAGAAAGGTTAAGTAACTTACCCAAGGTCACATCGCTACTAAGCAGTACTGTGGGCATTCTGTGTTCTTAATCATTACATAATTTGCCTTTCAGAATAAGTGTGTCCCCATGTTTGTATATCCGTGTGTGCGCAAGAATGTGTGCCTACAAATGTTTCTGTGTAATGTGGCTGTGGGGTATATTTGAGTGTGTGTATATTTCAGCCCATGCAATGTATATGATGACCTGTGAGTATGTGGGTGGCTGCCTCTCTCCCAAGCTATGGGGTTCACCCACCAAGTTCCCTCTAAGCAGCCTGACAGCAGCAAGCCAAAGGGGCTCCCCACCAGGAGGCAGCACCCAGAGCATTCTGGCAGTGCCCGCTCCCCAGATCTGAGAAGTTTCAGTTTGCTGACCCAGCTTGGCACAGCCACATACAATGAGAAGGCCTCTCAGCCACTCCCTGGGTCAGGGAGGGAGACCCTCAGCTGCCAACCCTGCCGGGGGACTGCCCCCACCCCAGAGCCCTTGTTCTTCCCTTCTCACAGGGTGCTGGGTTTTAGAGTGGGCCAACTGAATTAACTGAAGTTATTAAGTTATCATGAATTTGCTTCTAACCCAATAGACATAGTGTTCAAGCTTCTTGAAACCACTGATGTGAACTCACACCACCAGTGCCCTAAGCTGATGAGGCCTAAGCCGATATGACTCTGGTCAAAAGCAAAGAACCTTGACATTCTAGTTAGTCCAGGAAGCCCTACAATGTAAATGTATGGTTTTTGTGCGTTTCTTCCCATGTGAGCGCCACCTTGGAGGGACACGACAGGAAAAAAATTAGCTTTGGTTCATCCACTCTACACCAATATTTAAGATGCAAAGCTTCATCAGATGCCACAAAACCGGGAAAAGCCTCCACCATTCTCCATCATTAAAGTCAAACTCACCAACCTAGAGACTACCCTCTGCCTTGCTGAGCAGGGCAGGGCTAGGAGACTTACTCAGATGGAACGGAGCTGAGCTGCAACCCCCGGAGGTCTTTTCTCCCACATGCTCCTCTGCCCCAGCCGTTAGCGTGCCAGTGTCCTGCAGCACAAGGACAGACCAATGGTGGGTGTGTTTCCTGCCTTTTGAAGCTCCCAAAGTCAAGGAGAAGGGGCTGGACTAGGAGGGGGCAGGAAGGAGGGAGCTAGCGAAGGCAGCCAGTGAGCCAGGTGTAGCCATGGGAGGGGTGGCCAAAACTTCTCCTCCCAGAGCTTCCAGGCTGGCCTCTGAGATGGTTGTTTACTTGCGGCACTCAGGAGAGGCTGAGCTGGGAACTGGCTTATTTATTTTCCATACTTTTCCTCCAAATCCTTTTCAGAGAGTTCTCAGAACCCCAGAGATAAATTTCCCAGGGCCCCCAAAAACCCACAGTCCCTCAGCACACAGCCATCTTTGTGGGAGGGAAGCAGGGTGGGGTGGCATGAAGGGAGAGGAGAGGCGTAGAGAGGGAGGGATAGGGAGGATGGACACATGAAGTTACTGGTGGTCAGGGCTCCCACGGTCTGCCTGCCCGCTACTCCATGCTAGGAGGAGGGGTTGCAGGAGCAACCAGCCAGATTCGAGGCAGTGGAGACGAAGCCTGAGTGTGTTCACCTTCAAGCACAGAACAAACTGTCCAGTCAGGCAGGGACCACGCCACATTCAGCTGTGAAATCCACATGCTCAGGGCAAGACAAGCAGCATTTTATCATTTGTGTAGGCATCAGAGAAGGAAAAAAGACACGTATTTCTGTTGAAGGAATGAAAAGGAGAACTGTTTTCCTTTCCTCCTGTGTGACTTCATGAAGGGCAGAGACCTCTCTGAATGTTTCCTCATGGCTAATGTTCCCTGCTTTGTGACTTCCCAGCAGAGGGACTCATAGCCTGTCCCTGGCCTTCACCTACTATCTGCCAACATTCTCAAGTACTCCCGTATCAGATATCAGGATGGAGCCAGATATAGATATATAGATACACACACACACACACACACACACACACACACAAAGGTGAATAGCCATTGTCCCTTGGGTAGGGGCAGCTTCTCTCCATACCCAGTCTCCCAACTTCCATCCTGGACAGCATGTCCACTCTGCAGTGGAGTGGGGAGAGGAACTTAGGCACTGTGAACACACCCAGATGGGCTTCCTGTGGAAGGTAGGCTGGGCCCTCTGGGTACTGTTCTTCGTTCCAGGTTGCCAGCTCTTCCCGTACTATGGACACCTATATCGGAGGTTCTTGGGGCAGAGGTGGGGGTGGGCAGAGTAGTGAGGACCCTGCCTCAACAGGGGTAATCTGTCTCAGCCCTTCAGGGGTATAGAGTACCAACTAGACTGAAAACACAGCTGGCTGCCCCTAAGTGCCTGCAGGAGTGTCCTTGCAATTCCTTAGCTTCAGGACCTTGGGCATCCACTGCACCTCTCTGGGCCTCTTTCCTCATTTGTAGAGATGATAACCACTGTCCCTCTGTGAGGCATGTGTGGAAAAGCATAAGCTGGGGACCAGGTGAGCCATGTGGTTATCATCCTTCCCACCCTTCTGCCCCAGCTCTCCTGAGGATCAGACGCCGAAGAGGAGTCCAGCTTTCCAGGGCTCGTGGAGCAGGAGTGGGAAGGACAGCCATTACATGTCCCTTTAATTTCACCAGGTAAGTGATGACAGGAGGTGGCAGGTAAGGATTGATTTCCCTATGTAATAGATTTCTATCCTGGAGAGGGCCGAAAAGGGAAAGGGTTATGGTCACCCATTTGAGGATGTTTACCTGGCAATTTCTCCCAAAGCCAAACTTGTGACTTATAGGGTCACAAGTGGCAGCTTTGTCCCCACTTCTCAGATAAGCAGCAAATCATCTCTCACTGGAATTACTGCAACATCCCTCTGTAACCATTCTCAAACTCCCCGCTTCCTGACTTCAGATCCACATGGAAGACTCCAGCAGTCTGGTGCCGCCTAGCCTTTGATTCCCACGGCCCATGGTAACTCAGGCTGGGCACAATGTGTGGAAAAAGAGGACTGTAGTCAGAGGCCCCAGGACCACGTTAGTAGTGCATCAGGGTTGCTTCCTCATTGCCATGGAGAACCAGTAGGGACCTTAGAGACAGCCTGACACGGTGGAGACAGCATGGGTCCAGAGTCAGACATCCAGGTTCAGATCTTAGCTTTGTCCCTCACCAGGCATGTGACCTTGAAAAAGTTATAGTATTTAACTTTCCTGAGTCTCAGCTTCCTAATTTCTAAAATGGTAACCTCATAGGTATGTAAGGTCTTAATGAGAAAATGTATGTGGAGCTCTCAAGTCACAGAAGGCATAATTAAAGTGAAAGGTGATATTGAGAAAGGACTGGCTGCAGCATTCCACCTGAACTTGGGGGTGGCTAAGCTCAGATCATTCCCTCTCTCATTTGGGACCACAGGCGTGGGTGCTGGCCACATGCTTTGCTAATTTCAGCATTAAGATAATTTAGAAGTTTGAATTGCACACTAAACCTAGTCACAAAGGGACAGGGTGGGAAATGACCCACTTCTTTGCAATTATACGGCCCCCACATCTTGCATGCTCTCAATCTCATGCCGGTAGGGAATCATTCCCAAGTCTGCTTGCAATCCCAGCTCCAAGAACATGAGATGGTGCTGCTCTTCTGGGAAACTCATGCCAAGTGGCACAGAGGCCCCCGCCCCACACACACACTCTATGTTCAGTGAAGGGGATGTGACCGCCCCTTCACCTGCTGCCGTCACGGTGCCAAGCCCCTGCTGGAGAACACAGCTTCTAGACTCTTCACAAGACCCATCTCCAGCCAGGCCAGCAGAAGCCAGGAAAAAACACCCCACACCACCCCTAGTTGAGCAAGCTGCAGAAATGGAGACTTTTCTACTTTTCTGCCGCTTTTCTTAGGGGAGCAGAGGCCAATGATGAAACTCAAGTCCCGGATGCCAACCCACAGGGCACATTGGAGCAAGCTGCATGGGCCACTTCCCCAAACACAACTTCAGATGCAATGAAAGTAAGGCTAAGGCTTCAAAATCACCCTGGTTTCTCTGCGACCTTGGAATCTTAAACCTCCCCCACCCCGTTTTACACTTCCACACCCAGGCCCGGAATCTCCTCGGCAAGTCCCCCTGGAAGTCGCTCTGAGGAAGCACATCCGCTGGGGGAAGGGTCTGTGCTTCCCTCACAGGCCCTGTCACTGCCACCTCCCAGCTGTCCAGCTCAGCACCGGCCTGCCAGCCTTTTCCACTCTGCTCATAGACCCCAGCATGCCAGGTCTGAGTTTATGAATCACTCCCTCCTCATTCCCGGCCTCGCCTCCGGAAGGGCTGCGAACACCCAGACACATCACCCAGACACCGATTTTCCACACCAGACTTGCTCCTGATGAACCCCGAGAACCGACTGCAATGTCTACATTCCCCTCCCCACTTTTCGGCCTCGGGGTCTTGGCCACGATTTTCCAAAGACAAGGCAGCCAGCCCCCTCACCTGCCCGTCGCTCTTTGGGGGCTCCTCACTGGAGGTCTGCAGAGGCAGCAGACAAAGACCTGGATTTATTTAAGGGCAGGAGGACACGCCTGGCGTAAAGATCCTTGTCCCCGCGCTTGGGATTGTAAATTTCGGTCTTCGGCGTGTGCCTGGTCTGTGTGGCGCGTGCTCAGGGAGTGTGCGCTGTGTCTGGGGCTTGAGTGATGATGAGCTGCGTGTACCTGGCAGTTGTGACTCTGGGTGCAGTGGGTCTGGGGGTTGTGGGTGCCTGCGTGGAGTTTTCCCCGAGCCAAGAACTCTCCCTCCCTCCCTGCGTTTCGCCCCCTCTTCCTCCAAAGTTTGGTGCGTGCGCCGGGACAGGGAAGGTGGAGACGCACAGCTGGGCGGCCTCCTCCGGGTCCCGGAGGCGATTCCAGGACGACTGCGCCCAACTTACCCCAGGCGCCGAGCCTCCTCCGGCGGGGGCGGATCCGACTCTCCGCTGCTCGGGTCTCGCGCCGGCAGCATCCGCTCACAACTTTGCCTTCCTCTCGGCGGCACCAGCTCCCTCCCGGCCGGGCTCTGCGCCCTCCCTGGGGGCGGCGGCGGGGAGAGTAGAGGGAGGGAGGC